AAAATGTTGACTGTCTTCAAGGTGCATTCCTCTGCGAAAACGAGCATCATGGGGGCACCACAATGAAATTACTCCTTGGCGCTACCACATAGCGCTCAGGGACTCGCAATAGCACCTTTTCGATCCAACCGCACCAAAATGCAAAATAAACCCGAGTCTTTGATCAACAACAAATCTAGCCATCCAAAAGGTGGTTATGAGGGACATACAAGTAGCAATGGTCAAAATGTTTGCCTGCGGTTGAAAAACGTCATCCACAAAGGGTAAAAGTCCCAAGCCCACTGGCTCCCATGGGGCGAAAAATCCCTGCAGATGGAAAACATCCCCCGGAACCCCCAATACAGGAAGAGGACAAACTTAACTCAGAGGCCCCTCCGGAGCTTTGGACTCAAGTCCGACGTAAAACTATTAAGTCTGCTAACCGCCCTGGTCACACAATTTTCGGCTGCTCACAGCATCAGCGGCAGCGTTGAAACGTTTGTCCACAAAGTGCCTCAGTCTTTCCAACAAAATTTGCGACATTACACAGTCAGCTTGTCTTAAACAACCGTGCATAATTTCACTCACAGAGATTTTGCTCAGACCAGATCTCTCTGACGCCAAGATCTCCATAGACGTCTACTCTGTTTCCCAGCTTACTCAAAACGACGGAGGGTTGGTTGAGTTGCTTTGTACTTATATGCAGCCTTGCCCGTCCCGATTGTCCTCTTGCACTTTTTGCCATGAACTGTGATTCCAAAAGCCGCCCTCCGGGTCCGGTTTTCCGCCTCTCCATATGGTCTGCCGTAGGTTCTCGAGTCCGCTGAAGATGACCAGACTCTCATACGAACGCTCGAGCAACTCTCCTCTAGCTAATATTTCACAAAACTCTTACCGGAAGGTGACTTCAACACTCCGAGAGCCCCCTAGATTAGGGCTCCAGCGGGTTGGATCAAGTGGGAGTTTTGCAGCGGCGCTTGGACACAAAATGTCGTCGCACCCCCCAGATACCACGCAGGCCAAATACCATCCCCCTAGACTTGGTCATCACCAACGAAAGACACGTCGTTGATAAGGCAATAATTAACGCTCCACTTAATATAGTGGCCAGTGTGTGCTTGCTTTTGATTTCATTTGCTTCTGGGCCCGAAATCCATAGCTTCAAACGTAGACTCGAAACGTTTGACCTGCGGATTTCTCAGGAATGCTCACCTTTCTTTAACAAGTTAAACTGGGACCAGCTCCACTGGAAAGGTTACGCAGGATCGTTATCCAGAAAGCTTATTGGGCTGACGCGATTTTCGTTCCAAAGAACCAGCACGTGGCCGGATGAGCCGCATGCCATCCAGAAGGAATCGGAGACTTTTGGAGAAGAGGTCTCGTAATTTTTTCGAAAGTTGACTACAAGAGACAGATTGAGCTCGCGTATCGTTGAATTCGAAACCGCCGTAAATCAGAAATATGCCAACTGAACGTACGAAAATAAGCCACCACTCTGGACCTCGCCCGGAAAAACACAAATGTTCTGTTCAAATTCACGAGATATCGCCTCAGAAACAAGCAATACGCGTTCTACTTGAGGGACAGGAACGGGAAACCCACGAGTGACCCAACAATGGTAGCTTGGCTCCAAAGTGATCCCTAAGCGGTTCTTTGTTAAGCCTAGCGTCCTCGTCTAGTCTTGTCAAGGCGCAACTACGAACAGCCTCCAAAAGAATTGGTCCTCACGGTGGAAGACATCTGTCATCTCTTGCACAAGGTCAACCCATTTTGCACGTTGGGGCCCGACAGGGATTCTGAAGGAAACTTTGCCCGCGCCGGCAGATCACTTATACATGTTGTTTCGTCAGGCGCTTGACGAAGTCCGCCTTCACTCTGCTTGGATAGAGGCGATTGTCACGTCAATCTACAAAACTGGTGACCGACTATCGCATGGCGGCTACAAGCCTGTAAGTCTCACCGGCGAACCGTGCAAGGTGTTTGAACGGATTCCGAAGTGAGGTACCTAGAAAACCTTTCACGATTTCACGGATTGATACAGAGAATCGAGGCTTTTGCCCAAGTTTCTCGGGTCGGTTTTGTTCCTGTCGGTCAGTGGCTGCGGTTTACCTGAAAGGCACAAGTGGAAAAGGGGTGTAGCACTGCTCTTTATGTTCTCAGCGCGGGGTAGTATGCTTCCCAGCGCGAGGATTTGCATAAATAACTGCCTAATAGTGCTTTAAACTGGGTTCTAGAAGGAGCGTGAACAACCGTCGGAGGAAGGTCTTTCCACGCATCTACCACCCGAAACGAGAAAAAACTTTGTCTAATGAATGTGTGTGCTCTGAGCTTGAAAATTTTC